TTTTTTTTTTCGGCGAATTTTTTTCCGGGGCCAGGGGTGCCGATCCCCGACCCCCGGGACCCCCGCCGGGGCCCCCCGGCCGGGGGTTGACAACCCTGAGAACCGGGCTTAGAAGGCAGTGCCGCGCAAAGCGAAGGGGGGCAGAAGGACAGAGAGTCGATAAATCCGGATGGTACCAAAGGGAACCGGAAGGAAATCTCCACAGGAGAAAGCTCGGGGAAAGCCGGGGGAAGCAGGCAAGGGACCCAGGGGGCCAAGGAAGCCAGAAATAAGGATAGGGCAAGCCCCCGAAACTCGGAAGGAGCCATGCCTAAGAAAGTAAGGGTCACGGACACAAGGCGCAAACTAGTCGAGATAGACAAGAGGACCGCGGAATACAAGGCAAGACTGATTGAGGAAATGATGACTGGGAACGAAGAAGGCTCTCTGCAGGAGGAACCCCAGGACGAACGGAGAACCGGCCAAGGAGGGACCGGACAAGGGGATAAAGGTAGTGACCGTGGGGGAACGTCGAGCAAAAGAAGGAAAGAAGGGGAGAACTCTCCGAGGATGGACGTGGAAAAGGCTACTACCCCGCCAGCCATAGATAGTAGGGCTAGCCGCCTGCCGACCACGCCAGCAGTGACGCGAGGGTGCGAAGGACTCTAGATCCTTAGGGAAAGAGTGTTGGGATGGTTTGACCCTGAAGGAACTACGAAAACCAGGGAGGGACAAAAGGCCGGCAAGGAAGGTCCGGATAACAGTGTGACAGGCGAGGCCAGCAGCTCCGAGGGCGGCCTTAAGAAGATAGTGTCGTCCCTCGCGTGAGAACTAAACAAAAATCAAGGCTACCTAGCGGATGCCAAGAAAAAGTTGACGTTTGATGGGGCGAACATCACGCAATTCCTGATAGATTACGAGAACCCGGTTGCGCTGTTGAAATTGACCGAAGAGGAGAAGATGGACCACCTGGGACAACATGTGTCTTTGAGCCTAGGACGGGACATAATGGCCATCGTAGCCGCAAGCCGATCTTGGAAAGAAACCCGGGATGTGATGATGAGAAAGTATCTGGCAACAGAAAAGATGGCAACGGAGAGCGATTTAGCGGTAGTCCAGAGAAAGAACTTCGCAATGAACAATGATTTCCTACGGGAGTTTACTTTGGTAGCACTAAAAATCCGCGGGGTTACGGATCGAATAATGAGTAAGTATTTCCTCAGACAGTTCTCCGAGTTCGACAAGGACAAGATCCTGTCGGCTTACCAACAGACGAGCAAATTTGTAAACACCAGGGACATTGATTTCAGTACGGTAACGGATCTGGCCGAAAAGACGGTAGTGACCGAGACATTGGCCTTGGTTAAGGAAGGGGAGATTATAGACTTGACCAGTAGGACGGGCAACAAGGTAAAAAAGGGGATTGAAAGCCTACACAAACAGGTGCACGGAGTCGACGACAAGATTGAAAGGATGGAGAGCGCGCTACTAGTTATGCAGCCGCAAGTATCCCGTCCCCCCCTTCCGCCCCAGGAAGCAGTACTTCCGCCAGGGGTGGCCAATCGTGGATTCGGACGGAGAGATCCCGCTAACGAGCAATGCAAGCACTGTATCGCGATAGGACATTATGTGCGCACGTGCCCAAAGCTCAACCATGATATTCTAAAAAGAAGGTGTACCAGGTCATTAAAGGGGGAGATATTTGGACCACAAGGGGAACGGGTGAACTGGAACTCACCAGGAGGGATGCGGCGAGTTATTATCATGCTCAACGGGCTAGAGATAACAGCCGTAGAAGCCGAACCGGTGGGCAAGATCATCTGGGATCAACGCCAGGGGCGCGGGCCGCAGGTCAATTTCGTTTTGGAAAACGATGGACATGATAGGGTGAACGCGAGTACTCGGCTAGGGACGGTTGGGAGAAGGATTAACCGTGACACCGTGATGGAGGAGGTTGCTGGAAGTTCGGAACCCCGAGCAGAGCCTGAGGCTGAGGAACCGGAAAAGGTCTATGGGAAACCTAGGGAAGAGGAGCCTACAGACAAAGTTTCCGCTGCCAAGAAGAAGTTTAGGTACCAAATCTCGATTTTATCCTTACCTGAGATCGATGACACCATTAGCAAGTTACTAGGGACCATGGTGTCGGTGTCTTTTCAGACTATGCTGCAGGCTAGCCGTAGGTTGCTCAAAGGGCTTAGACAACTGTTGACCCGGGGGCGAGTAGAAATAAGCGACAACCCCGAACTACCTGAAGGGGAGAGGGAGGAGGAAGTTCCACAAGAAGTAGCTAACCTTCAGAGGAGTCGCGGGGACTTGGAGGATCTTGAGAAAGCTTTTGCGAACATTCGTTTGAGTTTGCCCGACCGAGAGGGCGGCGAGGTCATGAGGTCACCTCCCAGGAAAAAGCTTAGCTTTCATGCACTGCCCGTAGGGAAGCTGAAAATCCAGGTTGGAACTCATCATACCGACGCGTTAGTAGACGGGGGGGCAGAAATCACCCTTATAAGAAGAGATTTCGCAACGATCACGGGATGTACGGTAAACAAGGAAGTAACAGAGAGCATCCGGGGGGCTGGCGGGGAAATCTCGTTCGCTGGGCACGTCACGAAGTGTGTTGTAAAGGCAGGGGTCAGGGAATCAATCTGGTCATTTCAGCGGATGACCGTAATGGAGGAAATGGATCACGACATAATCCTCGGGAGACCGTGGTGCGCGAACGTAGAGATGATAGACATGCACTTGCACGATGGCTCATACATGGTAGACATAGAGGACCCGGTAACCGGCCGGGGAGAGCTCCTCCGACTCCTTGGAACGGGAGGAGACCCCCCAAGGGGGAAATTGGCAACATGGTCGCCGTCATTCGAGGATAGCACGCGAAAAGGGGCTTTCACACGAATGGAGGGTATGAAAAAAAGGGTAGAAATCATGATTGAGGAAGCGTTCAACAAGGAGTGGATCAAGATGGGCCTGCCCCAGAAGAAGAGGAGGCAGGAGGACGAAGTCCTAGGTGTTATGGTAGCAGAAAAGGAGTCAGAGGTCGAACTTGGTACTAGCCTGCCCAAACGGAAAGAAGTGCTCGTAGACATGTCGGAAATCGCACTCGAGATCCCCGATCTATTGCAAGTCATCAAGGCCCTCAGATACCACAAGGTAGGAGTGGATTCGACAGCCTTGGCCAAGTTCGAAAGAGAGGTGCAAAAGGGATATTGCCTGAATGGGAAATTAGTAAGCATTCAACCACGAGTCAAAGAGGCGACGGGGGCAATTCCGACTGTTCATTTTTCAGGAGAAAGATCCCGGAAGGAAGTGTTCGAAAGTACAAGCCGGTAGGGAAGAAAGTGAAACCGGTCTCGATCTTGCTAGAGACATCAAAGGAAGAGGCTATGGAGAAGGAGGAAGAGGTCCTTCGAGTGATCCGAGAAAGAAGGGCGACGGAGGGGCATCGGATACTAGATGAGGTAGCGGACAGAAGAAGATAGGGATAGACGGGTTCTTAACGGAAGAAGAAAACCACCTGATCAAAAGGACCTGCCAAGAATTTCATCTGGCGTTTGCCTTTAGTGATCACCAGAAGGGACGAGTGGATGCGAAGTTGATCCCTCCGGTCAGAATCCACACGGTAGAACATGAGTGCTGGAATGACAAGGGTCCATCCTATGAATTTGGGATAGCGGGAGAGGTAACAGACCTCCTCCGAGCAAAGATGGACTCCTTCGTTGCGGAGCCTACGGCATCGCCATACGCAAATCAGTGGTTCGTCTTTCGGAAGCCTAACAAGACACTAAGGTGGATTCAGGACCTGCAAAAGTTGAATGCGGCAACCATCCGGGATGCTGGCTCGCTACCTTTGGCTGACTTATTAGCAGAATCGCACGCCGGTCGGAGCATTTACTCCCTGATAGATCTGGACTCAGGGTATGACCAGCTTCCATTGGATGTTCGGGACAGGCCATACACCGCTATGCACACCCCCGTAGGCCAGCTACAGATGCAGGTGACACCTATGGGATTCACAAACGCGGTGGCCGAAGCGCAACGCAGGATGCTCACCGTGGCCGGGGACATGTTTCCAGAAAAATGTGAACCTTACATCGATGACAATCCGATCAAAGGCACGCCGGAAAAGGACGAGACGGAAGTCCAGCCAGGGATCCGACGTTTTGTGTGGGACCACCTGCAGGACATCAACGACTTACTCCGCCGATTCCTAGTATACAACATTACGGCTAGTGGACCAAAGAGTATCATAGCAGTACCGGAGGTAACTATACTAGGATTTCGTTGCGGTGCTTACGGCAGGAAGCCGGATCCGGCAAAGACCGACAAGATATCGCAGTGGCCGACGCCACTACGTACGACGACGGAGGTAAGGGCATTTCTAGGCGTGGTTGGCTTTTGGAGGATCTTTATTAAGAACTTTGCCAAGATCGCTGAGCCTATCCGGGCTATGGATTGGACGGAGGAGCTGGAAGGAGCTGTCCAAAGACTCAAGGACATATTGACATCTGAGACAGTCGCCCTGTTCGCGCCTTGTTTTAATGACGAAGTGGGACGACCCTTCATCCTAGAAACGGATGGAGGACCTTTGGCCGTAGGAGGTGTGTTGATCCAAAGGGATGAGGGAGGAAAAGAGAGGCCGATTACATTCGAAAGTAGAACCCTGAACTCCGCAAAACGGCAGTACTCGCAATTAAAGAAGGAAATCATAGCCATCCTGCATTGCCTTAAGACCTTCCAGGCCTACCTATTTGGGAGGCGGTTCATCTTAAGGATCGATCCGACGAATGTCGCAGGGGCCCTAAAGAATTACAGGCCTATAGATCCAATGGTAGGGAGATGGGTAAGATTCATATGGCAGTTCGATTACAAGATCGAACGGATTGCTGGAATCCGCAACAAGGCAGATGGGCTGAGTCAGGTTTGCATCACTCCCGAGGGATGGAGGATGCAAAGCCCATAGACGCCTTCCTCGAATACGAAGGAGGAACTCTTGCGGTGGATAACGAAATGATGAGCGAGGGATGCATATCGGGAGAACTATTGATCCAGACTTTGCAGAAGGGGGCACCTGTCGTAGTAGCTGAACTTAGGGACGACCCAGTTACCACTCAAGGACGCAGAGAAGAAAAAGACTCATGGGGAGCGATAGTAGGACCGAAGGAGGAGCTGATAGCAATGGCGGTCGAAGGGGGCCGGGAAGCAGTGATAAGCTTAGTGGAATCTTGGGAAAGGAAAGAGTTGCAATGGGTGGTAAATCAGATACAGGAAGGAAAGGATGGGGGTAAGGAAGGAGAGGAGTTATTCTATGTCCAATCATACGAAGGGCTCTTTCGGGAGATCAGTTTGTTGTTGGTAGGAAACAAACAACCTACGGAAGTCAGTATTAAGGCAAGAGAAGAAGCCGAAAGGTACGTCCTAAGGGGCGGGCATTTGTTCCGGAGGGAGGAAGGTGCTATGCCCAGAAGGGTTGTGTGCGGAAGATAGACGTTATCCAGGCAATGCACGACGGGTTAGCTGGAGGTCATCGGTCGTCCAAAGGAACGCAAAGATAACGCCGCTCTATTATTGGTCAGGCATGGCAGGCATGGTCGCCATATACTGCCAGACTTGCCTTATTTGCCAAGAACGAAGCTCGGTACGAGTCTTCGAGCCGCTAAGACCAACGCGGGTGCTAGGGCCGGGACGTCTGGTCCACCTCGACCTTGCGGTCATGCCTGTATCAATGGATGGATGCAAGTATATCCTAGATGCACGAGACAACTTGAGTGGGTTCGTGGAGGCTGTCACCCTCAAGAAAAAGACAGGAAGGAGTGTGGCGGACTGGATAAAAGACTTCTACTTAAGGCAAGCGTTCGTGAGGAGGTTTATAGCAGACAATGAGACGGAATTTGTGAACCAAGAAGTATTTGGGATGCTTAAGAGACTCTGCGTACCGATCAAACTCATCGAGCCGTATCACCCTGAGGCCAATGCACTGGTGGAAAGGGGGCACCGAACCTTGAAGAACACGATTGCAAAACTCGCAGCAGACCATCTGGGGAACTGGCCTAGGTATCTTAAGCAGGCTGTCTTTGCAGAGAATATGACTCCTAAAAGGACAACAGGATGTATCCCGACAGAGCTTTGGTACGGAAGAGAGATCGACTTTCATGTGGAAGCTTTGGTACCTGCATGGAATAGGTTAGATGATGATCCGCAAATGACCACTGAAGAGTTAATCGAGGCAAGATGTCAACAAATCCTTAAGAATGAGGAGGTCATGGAAGACATCGCCAGTCGGGCGTTGGACAGCAGAATGAGGGACAAAGCAAGATGGGACCAGGTTAAGAATGTCAGAAAGGAGCCTCTTCAGGTGGGGGAGATGGTACTGCTAAGGAACTCGGCACTAGAAAGTACTTGGTCGAGACAGTTGGGAAGGAGGTTCAAAGGCCCCTACCAGGTCGCCAACCGGGTGGGACTGAACACCTTCGAACTGGAAGATTTGGATGAAACTGGATTGAAAGGGCCCTTCCCAGGGCAATGACTGGTCAGGTTTCTAAATCGGGACCCAGTGGAACAATGGCTTCAGGAGGCCGAAGATAAGGAAACAGAAGAGCCACAAGCTAAAGACTAACCACAGCCTTGCCCACACTATGGTTTGTCTCTGACCATGTTCGTGGGACTGTCATGTTTTTGGGGACTGGTGCTTTGGCTTGGACTGACTGAGGTTGAAAGGTAGCATGACTTGGGGGTTGCAGTATCTGGCTTGTGTGACAACGGGAGGGATGTTTGGGGCATTGTACCATAGTTTTTTACGGGAAAAATATGGGGGTCATCACGAACGACGCATTCACATGTATAAAAAGGGCGTGATGCGAGGGATACTATGTGCATTTTGGGAATGTCTACCTGCCTAAAGGGGGGGGGAGGCGTAAGTATATGAGGGACATTGCGAGTGTTGTTTTGTTATACAGGGCTTAGGAGTAAAACGAGAAAAGACAAAAATGAAATTCGGCAACGAGAACGACAGCGAGGCAATCAGCAGGCCTACCGGAGGGGAAGAAGCTGGACCAAGCCAAGGGAGGAGGACGGCGAAGAGAAAATTGTACATTGGGCTCATGGGCGGGCCAGTGGTAGGCAGGGGTGGAAGGAAATGCTTGTGTAGGAAACCCTCACCCCTCCGCAAGGGAGAGGGTATAGAAATATCATCTGACAGTGAGGGCGAAGAGGGAAGGGCAAATGTGGAAGAAAGAGGCAACACAGAAATGGGTGATAAGGCTCGGGTCTCTAATGAGGAAGGGGCCAATAGGGGCGAACCACGTGAGGCTTGGCATGGGGAAAGTGAGGGGGGACAAGGTATGCGCGACGAACATGAGGAGGACGAGGAGAAAAGGGAGAGCCCGATTGAGGGACGAAGCGGTCACGGCGGTTGCGAGGGGTATGAGACGGGGACAGAGATCCCTTTTACCTACGATCCAAAGAACCTTGCTGATGAGTATAGCCCCATACAGACTGAAGACGAGGGGGACGAGGAGGAGGATGTGAGAACTCATAGAAATCAGTAGCGGGGATGAGAGGGATGAAATCTCAAGGCCTAGGGAAGAGGGGCGGCCTCCGATGCATCAGCCAGGCGATGGGGCTTTCAGATGGGAGGACGAGTTCGGGCCAACGCCCAGTCACTGTTTTCAACAATGGACCAATGTAATCAGGCACGAATGGATTATCAAGACTTGGGCACTCGCAAGGGCAGGGGTGGAAGCCACACCACTGGATTTTTTCAACGAGGCTGAGTTGCATAAAATCATAAGGATGAAAAGAGAGATCGAGACCTACGGCCTGGGGGTTAGGAAGCCTGCCGAGGAACGGAGTAGACAAGGAACTAGGCGAGACGAGGCGCAAGGCAGTAGTAGGAACTAGGTGTTGGCTTAGCATTGAAAAGGATCGCTGCTTTCTGTCTACAGAGATATGAGAATGACGAGAACGTGTATAATATGGGCAAACTTGTTGAGGAGGAAGTGAAAAGAGGGTCAGCTAAGGCTGTGTCACGCTAAAGTAGAAGATAGTTGTTGAGACTACTCTTGGATGAGCTACCTTGGGTACCTAAGACAAAGACATGGGATTTGGGATGAGACCAATTGGGAGAGGGCGTATTGTGAATTTTGGATGGAACAAGGATTATGCTTTTGAGAGAGGAAAACCTTGAGTACGAATTGACGAGCAAACCATGGCATTGAATGACTGGTCGAGTACAAGAGAGGTTCGGGAACCTATGGGTTAAGGGGCGTGAAAAACACTCCTTCCCTAGGAGCCTAATCCAACTGAGTCATGAATGAGACTGAGAATAGCCGAAACCTGAGAGATCAAGAAGAGTGAAAATGGAAGGGGCGCTTTTGTTTTTTGTTATGAATGAACGGTCGGGTGGGCTAGTGCTGCTTGGGGTCGCGAGCCCGAACTTGAGTGTTAGACGCTAAGTCGAGTGTACACCATGGATGGTACGTTACTGTGAGAAATGGAATGGATGGTACATTACTGTGAGAAATGGAATGGATGGTACGTTACTGTGAGAAATGGAATGGATGGTACATTACTGTG